AGTGAGCATGGCCATTCTGTCTTGTGCATAAAATGCTGCATATTTTTTAAGTTTGCAGCCATTAGTTCGTGGAATTAAAAGGTACCTCATTTGCACATGAGAAAACTCAGGGCCAAAGGAGTGAGGTCACACTGCTAATTCATCCTGAATCTCGCCCTGGTCCTGCCAAGCCTGGTCCTGCCAAGTCCTCTCTGCACTGACGACTCTGCTGCCAGGGCCACCTTGCATGCCCAGATAAGTGACTGCTACTGGGTGACCTCAGAGCCTAAGGATGCTCCAGTCCGCACCACAAAATCTCCTGCATGAGTTTTTCCTTTTTCTTGGATAGAATTTGAGAGGTCTGCTTGGGTCAGAATTTATAACCATTTGTCTTTGAGCCTTTTGATAGCCCTGAAGGAAGGAAAATGAATGAGAAAAATGGGTCATCTATGCTGTTTGCCTTTATAATATTGTCCACCTGGTAAGTTCTCCCTGCCACCTAACCTAGGATGAAAATCTGCGTGCGGTGTAGTGGTGAAGGAAAGAACCCTAGCCAGACAGGCAGTCGAGTGTTGACTTAACCCCGAGGATTTCAGAGCTCTCTGTGGGCAGGGGAAGCCGGTGAGCTTCATTCTTCCTACTCCCTGGTGCTGTCTGCTCTGGGCATAAGAGAAGTAATTTAACTTGCAACTTAAGCAAAGACTGTGGGAGGCCCCTGAGCTCAGCCTGAAGAGAAGGGGGATATTTTTGCTTCCTAGAGGAAGAAAACTCATTTTCCCACTGAACCCTGCCCACTCCTACTCCCATGCAGATGAGCTTAATTTTCTTCCCCTCCTAATGAAGATGGATCAAAGCCAAGCTACATATTCCTGGGGGAGCCAAGCAGGGAAGCCAGATGAGGGGCAGGGGGCAGAAACAGAGCTTGGCTCATGGAAAGGAAGTAATTAATTTTATGAGAGAGCTAAGATAGGAAAGCTCTTGATAATAGAATATCAAACTCTAGATGCTAAAAATTAAATCAGAGCATGGAGAATTTCTTTTATTCACGCATTCACCCATGCAACAAATATTTATCGAGCACCTACTATGCACAGGCAGGGGGGCCCGCGGTCTATAACCAGAGCAGGGCACTAAAGACGGGGGGGAGAGCGCTGTCCGAAAATTGAGGCTTCCGATCACCAGCTAAATCACTTGCGAGAGTCCTACTAAATGGCTGAATATATTGACCTTTAGGATTTAGGATGAGCTGTTTAAATGGAAGCAGCTGTTGGCCCCAGTTACCGCCCATCAGCCTCTCCCTTTGTGGGTTAAATAATATTGTCCACTCTTCCGTTCACTGAGTGCATTGTTCCCTGACCAAGTTCTGCCCTCGATTCAGAAAATTAGATTAGCCCCTCCCTTTCGGTGTCTGTTGTGATATCACAGAATTACCATGGCCACAGACCGTGATGTCGGCGGCTTGCCTGATGCTGCTAAAAAGAACCACATTGGTCAGAAAGGGATCTGTCATGTGAAGACAAAATGTAATAAAATAGAAAGCCAGAGGAACTGAAATTTGATATTAAAAACAAAAAGAACATCTTGTCAGTGTAAGGTAACAGTGGGCCTTGCAGCCTCCTTTGCTAGAACCCTTTGCAAATCACCGAGCACTTATGAGGGCTGATTAGAGAGCAGGCTTTGCACAGAGGCAGCGGAATGGACAGGTGACCTTCAGAAGGCCTTGCATTCAAGGATGCGGAGGACAGACACTAAGGAGCAGAGAGATTTGGCTGGCTTTGGGCCCTGGAGAATTTAGGGGAATTAACATCCATGCAGACTTCGTGCTCCTGAGCAGATCCGACAGTCACCAGCTGGAATTTATCATCTTGCATCTGGAAGATCTGCAGCCATAAACACACAGTGACCCTCTCTCAAGCCCCGCTCCTTTCCTTCCATTTCACCCAAGCAGGAGAGCCTGGTCTTGGCCATCAGCTCTGATGCTACAACATCCACGCCCATCCAGGCTCTGCCTCCGCGGCATCCGGCTCTCTACCAGCGGGACCACAGCGCTCAAAGGGCAAGCGAGCCGCTGCCGGGTCTGAGGGGTGGGCGGCAGGGGGCCGATCGATCGCCAAGCTACTTCATGCATTATGCTCCCGTCCACACGGAGGCTGGGGGCCTCGGAGACAAGGAAGGAGACTTCCTTAATTAATCTCGTCTTGGGAGCAGCAGCAAAAGCAGCACACGAACTTGGAGCTTCCTTTTAACCCTTGTGCCCACGGGCTCCACAGGGTCTCTGAAAAGCAAGTTGGCTCTGTGTTCCCGAGCCCGTGTCTGGGTTGGCAGCCGGGGAGGCAGGAGCACCGTCTCCCTGCAGGTCGGGCTGGCATGAGCTCCCGCCGTGCAGATGGGAATGCAGCCCCGCGCTCCTCCACCCACCCAGCTCCTCCGTGTCCTTAGCTCAGTGAGGTCAGACTACCTGGAAGTGGCACACCTGCTCTGTGCACGCCGTTCTCTCCCTTTCTGCATTTTCTCCTTGGGAGTCAGAACCAGAAGGATGCTCTCCCCTCCTTGCTTATTCCGCCTCCAGCCTTCTGACCGGGTAGCATTCTAGCTGAAAGCCCGGAAGCCACAGGCCCAGTAGGGCACCCGGTGACCCCTACCAGCACCCAGCAAGGGCCCCCTCCCTGTGCTCCAGTGCCAGAGCCAGGGAGAGGAGGCAGCCAGCAGAGTGTCCTTGCCACCGCTCGCCTGCATCTCTGCCACAGCATTTAGGGTTGGACCGGAGGACTTACTGCTCAGAGGGATGGTAGCAGCCCGGTGGCTGGTGAGTCCACCGAGACTGCCGAACTGGGCACCGAGCTGCCAAAAAGATGTTGAAGTTTCGGGCTGATCGACGGGTCAGGTAGGGATTCCTTGCATAGACCGGAAAATGGAGCAGCCGGAGCTGGCCCTCATCCTGCTCAGATCTGGGGGCTTTTCGGTGAGGGGTCTGCCGGAGCTGACCTGGGAGGCGAGTGTAGTTAGGTCAATGGCTGCTGCATTGCAGTGCCTGGGAAGGAGAAGCTATTTTGAAATTGGTAGCTCCGGGAGAGAGGGAGGACGTCATTTGTAGGGGTTGCTGGGTAGGAGGCTCTAGGGCAGGGAGTAGGCTTGCGACGGCTGCCGGCATGGTGTGCATGGCTTTCTGTGTGTACCCATGTCTGCAGGGGGCTCCGAGCAGTGCAGAGGGGTCTGCAGGGGCAGAGCAGGGTGGGAGGGGGACGCGAGTTCCAAGCCAGCAGGCAAAAGCAGAGAGCATGGCACCTCGTAGACTGTAGTTGTAGCAAACTACCTGTCCCCCAGGCCTCTAGGGGAGCAGAGCCAGAGACAAGGGTAACGCAAAACAAATACCCTTCCTCGATCCTCTGATTAAATTAGAAGAGCATCCTTATTGGGAGGGGTGGGACTGTCCTCTGGGAAGTGGGGAGTGGATTATCAGTATGCTGGAGTTAACTCAGGCCTGGCGGACCCTGATCAGATTTCTGATCCTGGCTGCCAAGCCCAGGCTGTAGCCACTGCCTGCTCTGTTTCTGTCCCCTATGTCTTTGGATTAAATCAGCAGGACTGGTTTGGAAGCAGGAAAAAAAAAAAAAAAAAAAAAAAAAAAAAAAACCCTTTA